CAATTTCTTCTTTATTTGGTAGCCATTCTTGTTCCAAAAAACACCAAAAATCTACATTTGAACTTTGTATTCATCTTACTCATGGTGGGTTACTGATGCCTGTAATTTTGTTTAAATTTGTTGCAAATACAAGACAGAACAGGTTGAATGTTGCATTTAGTTGTTTTTTATTTCAATGAAATTTAGCCAACTAGTAGTCATTTCTGTCAAAAAAGTAAAATCACAAAATTTGAACATGTCATCAACTGTTTCTCAGCCATGCCTTTGCTGACTTCTTTCAAATTTGGGATGGTGGGTTACAGATGCACTTCAGTTTGTTTTTTGATTTGATTCAAAAATTCTTACTGGTGATTATTTTTGTCACACCAGAAACAACATTTGGACATGTCATCAAATAGTTTCTCAAGCATGCCTGAACCGATTTTAATTGAACTTAGCATTGACATCACTCATGGTGGGATAGTGATGTACAATGTATGACAGTTTGTTTTACAATTTGATTCAAAAACTGAATGACTTGTAATGTGATTGTTTTTACACTGGTAAAAAATTGCATGCTTAGAACATCAACCGAATCTCGATGAGATATAACGCAAGAAAAGCATCATAAATAATGTTCAACATACTACGTACATTGAACATACATAAATAAGGGATAAGGGACGACGTCAAAAGATCGATGTCGGATAAAAAACTTAATTCCTTTAGTTTTTTTCCAAACCCCCCTACCCCCCACTGAAACTTAATTGATAAATATTGGTCATGGCGTCAGACTACATTCACCATTAAATACAAATTGATAATCGGACAGTAGTATTCGTAGCAGTTGGTTGTTGGGTGGGTGTAAAAAGATTTTACAAATGCACCTCATTTGACGCACAGCTTTACACTCGAACCAAACCATTTTCTCGGCTTGGATGTTTGTTTTTTCCTTTTAGGTTATTTCTGTCCATGATTGGATAGAAAAAAACGAACTACAAATACTCCAAGATTTTTTTGACTTCATTAAAAAATAATATCGTTTTTGTAGGATGGAAACTTTTTGAGGTCAAAACCCCGGCCCACCCCCAAACTAAAGGAAATAAGTTTTTTATCCGACATCGATCTTTTGACGTTGTCCCTAACAGTAATGTAATGTCAACATAACAATAGTCATAATTATGTAACCCAGATATACGTACAGCTGTCATGTGTCAAGTGCGGAGATAACAGAATTTTAATTTTTATTTCCTGTTCACAGTCCGAATATTTGAACTTATGAGTTGACCTTTGTGTGTCTGTGCATGCAGTCAAGCATGTGTGCCATGCGCGATGCGTTCTCACCTGTATCTTGAACTTGCCTTGTTCATTTGTTTCATTCATTTGTTTGATGATTAAATTCATGATGGTCCAATGGCATCCATTTGAATGTTTAAGTCAAACATTAGATTCTTTTTATTTATTTTTAATGAATGCTGTTCCAAGCCATATCTCTGATATCCCTTGACTGATTATGTTCAAATTTTATATATAAGTCATACATGTATTTGATTTATGATGGCTACCATTTTAAAAATCCATCAAATTCTAGCATTTTTCGGCCATTCATGCCTTGGATTTTGATATAACACGGACAGCTATGGTCAGACTTATGGTTAGCTATTTTTAATAGTTATTTAGGACAACGATTACCAAATATTATCTTCAATATATCATACTTATCAGTCCGAGCAGCGTTTATTTATTTATAAACTACTATTATGGTCAGACTTAATTGGTACATAAATTGAACATAATGGGACCGTAATTTCTTCGCAGATTGGGTTAAAAATAGCCAAATGACAGAAAATTTGTTCAAAGAATGATTTTCTGAAATGTCTTGATTGATTCGATAAAATTTTGTACGTAATGTTACGCTTACTACAATATTTGCTCTATTAGAAGCGCATTTCATTTGGTGTGTAGTGAATCATTATTTAAATAAATGATATACCTGTAATCACATGTGCTCCTAATAGAGCAAATATGGTAACGGTAATAAGCATTTGTTTCAAGTTTTGATTCAAAAGGGCTGACTCATTTCAATGTTGTTCATTACTGAAAAAACAAAAACTTCGTCATGTCATTACATGTTAAATAAAGAGTACCGAAGTAGTTTCATTTTCAACCATGTCAATGGAATAATAACATGCACTAGTGATGTAGAGGTATTTAAATGCCTTTCTACTTTTTTGACATTTCCTAATATAAATCAGATAGTATTGGCTTAATACTCAAAGATGCATGTAGTAAAGTCATTATGTATATCATAGTCAAACCTTGACGTGTAATTTTGTTTTTTAACCTTGTCATAAGTTAAAAAAAAATCACATACATACATTTACACTATAAAAATATCTTAATTAACGATCAAAAAAAAAATGACTAGTAAAAATATCTCATTTTACTGATCAAAAAAAAAATGAATAGTCTATTGTTGTATATGAACTGTCAACTCTTCCTTGTGACTGGAATGTGATATATAATGCTATGTGGTTCAGGGTTGGACATGCATGTATGCATACCAGTATATGCTAAAATACTGTCCATATTGTTTATTGGCCCAATACTCAATCAATGACAATACATGTTTAGTTTGATGTCTACACTTTACTACATTTAAGAAAACAATATCAACTGTTTGTAAATAATAAAGTATAACGTGTGTACATATACCATGTACATGTATAAACATTTTTGACGAAAAAAATTGTCTTCACTACAGGCTCTTGTCTATTTTTCATGAGTGTAGTTTGTTCGGCAATGCTCGATTACAGCACGTGAAAGGTCAGAGGTTGAATTTAAGGCTCGTCCACATATGCGAAACTGAGTTCTGAGTTTAATGCTAATATACTTTAAAACATGTTGAAAAAGCAGCATGCAATTCTAGCGAATTGTGGTAAAATGACGTAATAGCGAAATGTTGATTTAGCAAATTTCTCTTGTCATTGTTGATTTCTTTGTCTGGCGGCCATTTTGAATTGATAATAAAGTCTAATAATAAAGTGACATCATGAATTACCGAATCAGTTAAACTTGCGAAAAAGACATGCTCGCGAAAAAGACATGTTTTACAGTGAATGTTTTCACACAGTCTTTAAACAAGGACTGAACAATTTTTGAAAATGATTTATTTTGCTACATGTACATCATCAATTGTGACAGACAGTTTTGTTTTCCAATCTGTTTATGATGGTACACATATACCAATGTATAACAGAGTGCCTGTCTGCTCAGGGTTTCAATTGTGTCTGCGGTTTGTGCATGTTTTTTACAAGCTGGGTATATTATATATATATATATACATACATGCATACATTGTTTTTTTGTAACTAATAAAAATGATCATCACTGAATAATAACACTAAGTTGTTTTTATTTGACAGACACCTTTTGATGGACCCACTGTCAGTAATCCTAGCATAGACCCTCCGCAGCCAACAAGGCCTCCGTCACAAGTTCTAGGCAATAACTGGGAAGTCCACTATGATGACAAAGGACGGAAATTTTTCCACAACACCATTTCCAAAGAAAGTTCTTGGAAGCCACCAAGAGGTTATGGGGTAAATATCACTTTCTATTTCATTCCCATATGTTCATAATATTTAATACTACATGTGCATCATATACATATTTTGCAATGGTTGATTACTCTGTGAGTTAATTGTAATACAGTCCCTGTGCTCTAGGTTCTGTCAAACATATTTTTGGGTCCTTGCGTAGCATATTAATTTCACTGATCATAGCAGTGTTTGTTGATTTGGCACTATGGTTTGCACACATACAATATAGCCTTGTAATGCACTGATGAATCTATTTGTGTCAATTTCCAGCATGTGTGGTTTTAACCATGCTGTCGTGTACTGGAGAATAAAGCATTCTTTCTGTGTAATTAAAAAAATAAAAAATCCATCTCACTCCCTCAGTACTTTTATTGGATTGGTATAGAAAAAGACTTAAGTATTGATTTTCTTAGATTTAATAAAATCTGCATGAGATTATATTGTTGACATTTCTTTATTTCAACTTATACAATTGATTACAGTCACGTGTATATTGATTTGCTACATTGATATAATACCATAAATCATTATATTTTCGCTGAGAGAATTTTTTTGCTGAGAGTGTTTACATGGTCACATTTTTGTGAAAGTTACTCTGACCTTTTCACCACCAGTTCCTTCTTTTCATCACTAATTCACAAAATAGTTCTGTTTATAGTTTGCACTTTTCTTCAGAAGATTTGAAAAAATAGCCAATTTTTTTGAGTAAAATCTGAAAAATGACTAAAATTTTGTCTGTTGGTGCTAAAATTAGGGTTCATTTTCAGAAATATTGAAGAATATACCAAGTGAAAAGTGTAGAATAATTTGGGTGCGAAAGTCTGGTGGTGAAAAGGTTTAGAACTCCAAAGAAATGTTTACTGCTACAGTATTCAGAAAAATAAAGTGATCGAGTGTTTATCTCGTGTGTATTTTGACTGTAATGAAAACCAAAACACTTTAAAGGGAACCTCAATCCAAACAACATAATGACCCCTAAAAAGAAAAAGCTCCACAAATGTAGGAGAATGCAATTTACACTTTTTTATATCAGTTTTCATTCTCTAGATATTCAACTTTTCATCGTTATTAAGTAGTCAGCCATCTTGATTCTCAAGCAAAGGATTATGGGTAAAGTATGACATCATAGAATCTGTTGTCAGAAATTGAGAAATTATT